CTTGTGCTCAAGAAATAAAGGTTCATCCGTGGAAACACGGTATTTCCCCATGTTCTTCAATTGCAAGCCAAAAAACGGTCGGTTATCTTTGTCATTTTCAAAGAAGTAAGGTCCAATAATACCTCCAGACCAAAGAGCTCACTAGACAGTAAGCCTTTTTTTTTGCTGTAATAACCTCTCTTCAATTATTGGAAGTTTCCTGGGGCTGAAGATAATTTTTTTTCGAAAAATCGCATAAATCGAAAAAAGATCAAAATTTTTGTTATATCTCTTTGAATACTCGTTTATTCAATATTTATGGTCGCGAGTGAGAATATTTTCCTAATCAAATAAATTATATTTTAAATATATGTCATTTACTAAATATAAATTTCTATTTCCACCACGAAAATATAAAGGCTTATATTTATATTTATATGTTTGTTTTTACTAACATACATACATATTCACATTCATATTCATTTCTTACTGAAATAAAAATGTGACAATATTCTGATGCGAATTTGATTTGCTCATTAACCAAGCCATTCACCACTCCCCTGTCATCACATACAAAATATACCTTTTTGTACATACATGTATACAAAATTAGATAGATATATTTTTATATATAATGAAATGTTGTCTGCAATTATTAAAGCATTACGTAGGTAAAATAAAAACAAAAATAAATATAAAGTCATTTTTTAATTTATCACCTTTAGTAATTGGTGTTCTACATATTACCTTTTGATTTTTAATTTAATTTTTATTTCATTGTGTTAAAAGTAGATTAACAAAACAGAAATATTTCAAGCTGAGCTCTCTATTCTTTAAAGTAATAATTTGATTATATATTTATTTTCCTTTTTACTCCATGAAAATTTTACTGTGATTAAAATTGTGATAAGACAATACAAAAAAAAATTGAAAATTTTCCGTAAATTGGCTTAATTGAAACATTGTCTATAAATACCCCAAAATATACTTTCGTTGTCATTCCGACGCCACCGGTTAACCATACGGGAACTGTAAGAATATTAAAAGCAGTCAATAAATACTTAAGCCTTATTTTCTCTCCTCATCTACACCAAATATACAGCAAAAAAAAAAAATATTTAAATAAACCTCGAATTTTATATATGATACGTCAAAAGCGTCAATTCTAAAAAAATAAAATCCCAACAAATAATATTTTCGCTTATTGTAATTTCTTTATAAAAAAAAAAAAAATTAACCCTATATCTGAACATGAAAATCTCTTGTTACGTTTGTAATCGCTAAAAAAAAAAACAAGAGTACTTGGCGCACCCAGTTATTTCATTCTATTTCTTCTACTTACTTTGGACAGTTAAGCAAAAAATCAGAAACCAGAAAGGGTAATGCGTGGGAAGGTTAGCACAAACGCAGATTTTAAATATTTTTTTTTCATTCTGTGAAACCCATTCAACTGAAATAAGTCAACTAAATCTAAAAAAATTAAATTAAAAATTATTTGAAGATAAAACATAAAATAAGTAAAATTGAAAGCGAAAAACCAAATAAAATCAAAAAAAGTAAATTGGAGTGAAATAAAATAAACATAAATTAAAATAAAGTAAATTAAACTAAATACAAAAAAAATAAAGCAAAACAAAAAATAGAATACCAAAATAACACAAAAAACGAACAATACGTATATAATTTTTAAAATACAAAAAAAAAAAAAAAAATTCAACTAAATTAATATAATTAAAATCAGAGAGTAAAGTGTAGTATATAGTGTATAATAGTTACGAAATAAAATTAAATAAATTTAAAAAAAATTCAATTAATTAAAACATAAAATTAAATATTAATTAAATAATATAAAAAAATATAATTGGAAAACAAAATAAAACTGAAAAAATATAATTATGGAAATAAAATTATTAAAACTGATATAAATTAAAATTAACCAAAATAAAATGAAAATTCAATAAAAACAAGAAAAAAGAGCTCGATCATACAGAAATTTTGTATACCTTTCGTGACTATATTAAGTTTATGGTATTTCATCTTCGGATTAAATTTTAATTCTCTTATCTAAAAAAAATGGGCTGGATGATGTCATCCGATTTTGATGATTTTTAGTTTCTACTTTATTTTTTTTTTTTCGACTATAGAAAACCAAATTACACGCTTGCAGTTAGATGCGTTTTCGACGAATTTGTGACCAAAAACCTCACATCTAAACAAATCGGTTGTATCGGTTTAGCGCCCTCTGAATGATAAAGAAATCCGATTTCGATGATTCATTGATGATTATTATTTGTAGATACGAGTGAAGAACACCAAATTTTACGGTTAAAGGAGCATTTTTGGCGCATTTTTGTCATATTTATATAAAAAAATAAATCTTAAAAAGAAATGAACAAAATAATTAAAAAAAAAATTAAATGAAATAAACTAAAATTAAATTAAAATAAAAAACACAAATAAATAAATTAAATATTAAACAAAATATAAATAAAAAAATAAAAATTTTAATTAATTTAAAATAAATAAATCTAAAACGATAGAAATAAAGTCAAATAAAATATAACTAAATTTAATTTAAATATAGATATAAATAAAATTTTAATTTAACTAAATTATAAACAAAGTGAAATAAAAATAAATAAATTAAATCTAAAAAGATTGAAATAAACAAAATAATAAAATAAATTAAATTAAAATAAAAAATACAAATAAGGAATATTATATATTCACTAAACTATTAAAAAAATAAAAAAAATATAAAAATATTTATTTAAATTAATCTAACTAATTCTGGAATGATAGAAATAAATAAAATAAAAAGAAATAAATAAAGTAAACTTAAATTAAATTAAGTTAAAAAAAGATATAAATAAAATTGTGGTTTAACTAAATTATAAACAAAATGTAATAAAATTAAATAAAAATGTATAGTAAATTTAAAAAGATAGAAATAAATGGAGTAATAAAATAAATAAACTAAAACTAAATAAAGTTAAATAAAATCAAATAAAATTAAAAAATGGAAATAACTATAATTAGAAATTAACCAAAATATAAATTAAATTTAAATAAACCTGAAAAGATAAAAAAATAATATAATAAAGTCAATTAAAAATGAAATAAAATAAAATTATAAATTAAATAAAATATAAGTATAATAAATTAATTTAATTATAATAAAATAAATCCTTAAAGATAGAAATAAACATAATAAGAAATAAATAATTTTAATTTAAATTAGAATAACACAATACAAATAAATAAAATTATAAATTAACTAAAATATAATTAAATAATATATAAAAATATTAAATGAAATTAAACTAAACTAAATAAATCTAAAATGTTAGAAATAAAAAAATATTAAATTAAAATAAAAATAGTTATAAATATAATTATGATTTAACTAAATTGTAAATGAAATAATCAAATAAAACATAATAAAACTAAATTAAATCAAACTAATTTAAAAAAATTTAAAAATATAGAAATAAATGAATTATAAGATAAATAAAAAAGGTAAATCAAATTAATTGAAATATTATAAAATGATATAAAAAAAACGGAACAAATAGAATTATAAATAAAATAAAATCTAGTTTAATTAAATTAATTTAAATAGAATTATATAACTCTTAAAAAAATAAACAAAATTTTAAATTAAACAAATTTAAATCAAATTAGAATAAAAAATACAAATGAATAAAATTATAAATTAACAAAAATATCAAATATAAAAAATATATAAAAATTAAATTAAAATAAATAAATTTAAAATGAAGGAAAAATATTAAATTAGAATTTGGAAAAAATTAAATCAATATAATTTAACTAACTTATAAACAAAATATAATGAAATTAAATGAAAAAAAATGAAATAAATATAAAAAGATCGAAAAATAAGCAATACAATAAAATAAATACATTAAAATCGAATAAACTTAAAAAATAGAAATAAATAAGTTAACTAAAATCTAATTAAAATAATAATTATAATTATATCAAATTTACTGAAATACAACAAAACTAAATTTAATAAATCAAAAAATATATAAATAAATGTAATAAAAAGATAAATTAAAAAATGAAATAAAATTAAGTTAAATATAATTAAATAAAAAAATCGAAATGAATAAAATTATAAATTAACTAATACATAATTAAACTAAAATTTTATTAAATTAAATTATTTTAAAATAAATGTAATAAAATAAAACAAAACCAAACAATTTAAAAAAAATGAATTGAAATAAAAAAATAAAATAAAATAAAACAATATGAAAAAATAAATTGAAATGAAGTAAATTGAAATAGAATAAATAAAAAAAGCAATAAATCGAACTAAATAAGTTTAATTTAATCGTAATTTGTTAATTTTTTATTACTTAAAATTTTTAACGTTATGCTGTACGAACGGTCAAACAACTTTTAATTTAAACGCTTTGTAAAGGCTCATGTGTCAAAATGAAGGTTAAAAAAATAACATTACCAACGGTTATTTTAAGAGAGTGGGTATATGAAATAACATTGACATTGGCAATGCATTATGAAAATAAGTACATATGTATGTATATACATATATGATCACCATTTTTCTCGTATATAAAAGGCTCTATACATACTCGTACACAAATATGTAAACAAAGAAGAAAATATCATAACTTAACAATAATCGAACAAAAAGGCTCGGAATGTGTGAATGTGTGTTGTCACGATATATGCGGTAGTAACAAAAAGTTAAAGTCACCTCTGGGATACATATGCAAGTACATATAAATATGTACATACGTGTATGCATAAATGGGTTGGTCTCAATTCGCCGGCAGTTGCTGTTTCTGCTGTTGGCGCTGACTGCATATTTTTTGCATTATTAAAGGAGTAAACCGAATTTGCATTTATATTAATTATTGCCGCATTTAGCATATATACATACACACATACATACATACATACATACATACATATGTATATTTTAATATCTCGATTAATTAAAAGTTATAATTTTTTCCACTCTTCCACAGTTGTATTAATACGCTGTTAATGATGTGAAATATCATCAGCGCTTGGCATAAACGAAGCAACTATTAACAGAGCGAGAGGACACACATCCATGTGTACATATTTGTATGTGGTAACACGTGCGAAAATATTATTGTTATTGTACTGTGACTGCGTGGTAGTAATCTGAATTCACAAAATCCTCGTACACACATATCTTCATATGTATTCACATTTCCACTACGCGCCCATCACGCTCCTTCCACAGCTGCTGTCTACAGCCCCCATTTAATGCTTCCACCAACTGCCAACAGCGCCAACGTCACAAATATCAGCACCAACACCATCACAGCCATCGAAAGTTGCATTCACATTTTTGCCTCCACCTTTTCCATCCTCTAAGCAAAGCAGTTGTAATATCTGCATCGAACGTATGAGCACGCAAATGTGTTATCCTGCAACAGCTTAGGATCGATCGAGTATGGATCGAAGTAAAAATAATAGTTTAGAATTTGGTAAAAATTCCACAGCATCGGCTGCAGCTGCTGCCGTAATGTCAGCGCCATGGGCGAATAATAAAGAGTCGCCAACGCTGCCCAACGAGGATGATTCACCGGAAGATGATGCTGATAACGCTACTCCTGCCAAGGTGACGGATCCGCTAGCGCCAAGGCTTGCCAATAATGAGGTAATTAAAAAATACCAATATGAATTCGATCAATTTTTTTTTTTTTTTGTGAGGTCAGGTTGACCTTTGGGGAAGATATATGTTGCTAAACTTAAGTTTTTCATAGAAACCAATACATTTTTAATTCTGCATTCCTTTCTTCGATTATTTTGATATTTCGAATAATTTCTGTTTTGTCCGTCTGATTTTTGGACAAGACTAAAGAACTTAGTACGTATTGCTCACTACTCGGCTAAGAGCAGCCGCAGATTTTTATTGGGAGCTTTTAATATTTCACGGCAGAAATATACTCGTAGACGTTGACATGTCCTGCCGAGGGAGGCATTTCATTAAAAAAAAATTTATTTAAAATTGGATTTCCACTATTTTGGATGTTGACCTGACAGAGTTCGAACGCCTGATCGTCCACATGACTGTCTGCATTAATGATCGCTCGGCTAATGCGGACGCCGGGTACTTAATCACCAAGAAAAATTGCTACTTCTTCGATCTTTTCTACTCTTTCGCTATCAACTCCAACTATTGTATATCTTTTCAATAATTCGAACGAAGAATTACTGGTCGTTAAGACTTCTCTGTTGTTGTTGCTTTTGAGCCGAAAAAATTTTCACCAAGTAGTTCTTTTTAGAATGTTGCGCGAGTGACAGTGCTTGGTCGGATAAAAATTTATCCGCTCAGGTATAAAGTCTCGACTGTCACGGAAAGTTTTTAATTTTAGGAGGCGACTCTTACGAGGTGTGGCATACAACAGCTTTCATTGTTATCGAAATACAGCTTCGCATGTGGCCTTGGTGTCGGTAGTATAAATCTATATAAAGTCGCCTATTTATTCATGATTTACTATTATTCATATATTTATTTTTTTAATGAAACATATCTTCCGTTCCGGCGTCTTTCCATCCACAGCGCGTGCTAGTCGTCTCTGTCACCGAACGCAATCGGGAGACCTGGAGTCAAAAAGCGGAGTTCCTCTTGGCCGTCATTGGCTTCGCGGTGGATTTGGGCAATGTGTGGCGTTTTCCGTACATCTGTTATCAAAATGGTGGGGGTGCATTTCTCATACCCTATTGTGTGATGTTGATTTTCGGTGGATTACCGCTCTTTTATATGGAGTTGGCGTTGGGTCAATTTCATCGCTGCGGCTGTTTGAGCATATGGAAGCGCATTTGCCCCGCACTTAAAGGTAAATTGAGAAAAATGTATGCAATATATATTTAATTGTTTGAAGATATTACTATTTTAAGGTACTTCAATACGCACAGGAATATTCCTGTATAGATATATATGTTTGTACTAGTTATGTTAGCAAAGAGTTTAAGTCTGCCCTGGGGACGAGTAAATGACAAGAAAAAAGCATAAACAAAAACTTAACAACGACTTAACAACAACTTGTCGATTCTTTATTCTCCAAATGCACACTTCTTTCTCGCAAATCAAGCAAATTCCACAGGTGGTTGTGTACTACGTCCTTCTCCATGCTCTTCTTCTTTTGATTTTCTGCTGCACTGCTGGCTATAATGGCAAATTGTTGTTGTGGTATTGTGTTTTAATCCCACTTGTATTCTCGGCAATTTGCTCTCACTTCAGTGTATCGATATATATGTAATAAGTGATTTCTTATCAACTCTTATGAGGCTTATTAGTCACGTCCTCTCGTTCATCTCGTCTGCTAGCGCGTGTCAGTAGGTGTATGGGGTAAAATGTACTGAGGTGTTGCTGGATTTGTGAAGGTAGTGGAGTTTTTATTTAAATAATTATTTGAAATTTATGTGAGTTGTTAAATCGGAAATTCTTTTTGAAGGAAAGCCATGATAGATTGAAAGGGCTGCTGGGTATATGCACGCTTGGGGTTACTCGGTATCTAAGGAGGTGACATCAATTTGCTATTAAAACAATTGTGCTTACAGAAATTTAAGTAAGCTCATCCAGAGTTGTTAGACAAGAAGTTTCCGGCAAAATTCTTGTCCTTAAAACTACTATGAAAATCCGATCTTTGCAATAGAAAAAAATCCCATTCTGTTTTTTCTTTTCTTTTTTACTCTGGTTTATTATTTCATTGTGACGAATTTTAAAAACTTTAAAGCAATATTCCACTTCTTCTTGATTGATGTATGCAATACTTAGCCGATAATAGTCAAGCCATTCGTTTCCGGTTTCAACAATTCGACGTCATTTGGAGACACCAAGTTATTTCTTTGAAGAATTGTTTTCTTTTTTATTACGACTGGTCTACAAGTGGCATGTTGTGGTGACTACCGATCTATCGTGCCAGATTCACTTATCCAGCTGCGTTATGCAGCGATTTAATTCTCTAATGAATCTTACTGGATCCATGACTTTGCAGTCGGCTAACTTCGATAGACCATCCAACAAGGTGGCAGTCGCATGAGAGATAGGTGATCGTTTCCACCTCCTCATCCTCTTTGCAGCTTCTACAGCATCTTCTATAGGTAGCTCCAAGTCTTTCAGCGTATCGTCCTATCAGACAGTGGCCTGTCGGAACTCATATTACTTTGGACATGTTCGTTTCGGTTGCTTATTTATAGGTAAATTCACTGAGAAACAGCTTGCAGCTTGCTAAAGGCATACCAATGCGTTCATTATCGAGAAGAATCTACTTGGCCATACCTTGCCTAGCAAGTTCATCCTCCTTGCAGTCTCCCTTCGAAGTCGCTGTGACCAGAAATCTACGTGAAAGACAGTCTGTTCTATTTGATCATCTCCTGCAGAGATCGGTGACAGTTCAGCACTAATTTGGAATGTAGCAATTATATTTTCATAAATTTATTGTAAAAGAAATAAATTCTCAGCAAATATAATAGAAAACTACACCGATTGGTTTTGATCTTAATCTCTCAAAGCTCCACCATTCATTGCATTGTGACGACCAGTTAAACAATTCAAAGCTATCTGTGATGGTTATGTGAGGTCCGTGAGGTGTTGGATTGCCATAGAACGAATAGTCGCAATTACTTTGCAACCCCAGTCTGCACCAGCAAACATGAGTTAATTTTAAATTAAAGGTCACCTTGTATAAATATGACCGACTTTATCACTATCGAGAACGGGATCGATACAAATCGCAACTCCGGCACCAGCGGCACCAGAAACCTACAATACAATATAGAAAATCAGTATGAACAATTCTAAAAGTTTCGTAAGAACTGTGGAAAACCTACTTTATAGAAAATCATTAGATCCAAGTGGGGGTTCATCAAAGTAAGCGCTCTGTAGGTATCTATGTTAAGCCTGTTTCACTGTAAAACAAAAGATAGGAGACTAAAATTTCCCCTCTGTGGGAGATGATTTTACAAATTGCTTTTTCAATGCCTTTCTGTTTTTTTGATGTTGCGCGTACAAAGACTCATAGAGATAAAACCGTTGTAAGCCACCTTAGAGCAGTTTGATTTTCAAATTTATAGAAGAAATACTCTTATATTGAAAGGTATTTAAATTCCTTCTCCAATAACGAATTCAATTAGAATACATTTTTTTTATATGTAGTTCTTCTTGGCATCCACTTTCTTTTTCTTTGGCCAGGGCATACCAGATAGTGGAATATCTTCTTTAGTAATGATAAAATAGTACAAGCTAACTGCTTTCGTAGTTATATACATACATGCATAAGGGCAAATAAAGCATTTAAATCAATTTAACCGAACCATTAGAATTCCACTAATTTCTTCTCTACTTATAAAATCTGCTGAGAGCCAATTTGATTTCCAATAATTTTTTTCTCTTAATCGTTTGTAAATATGCTTCACTTTTTATTTGCAGGCGATAATATTTGTTATGAAATAATGTCATATGTACAAACATACATACATACATATGAAAATATTGCACATAAAATAACTGCCGGCGAAATTATTTCCCCATTCATAAGAACATTCCTCATTACGTGCTTTGATGTGTGGAGCCTCCACATAACATTACACTTCAGCTTATTTGTAAACATAAACACAATTTATTAGTCAAGTGTGTGTGTGTATATGTCGAATATTATAAGAAAATATCCCTGCAGGAAAATATAATAGCTGTTAACTAGAATTCAACTAGTTTGCATTTCTACAATAACTAGTTAAACTGCTATCTTTTTCCCAAGCTAGCAGCAAGTGGGATTTTCTACGAACTAGAAATTGTTGGACTATGAAGACCTGATCTAAAGGTTCATTGTGCTCCTCCAAGATCATTTACGCTTGTTAAAGTTCTGTTTCACAAAAAAAAATAAAAAATAAAAAAAAATAAACAAAAATAAAAATAGCAATAAAAAAAAATTTAAAATAATAAAAAAAAATATAGATTTGTCTACAGCGAGATCCGAATCATGAATCTCACGCACGACAGTCACGACGATATAACAAGTGCCGGTAATTATTTTTACTACGGTAACTGGTGAACTGCCAGATGTTTGCCAACAAATAGGGAACTGGTATAATTTCATCTTTAAAATACTATTGGGTGTACAAATTTATACGCACCGGTTTTTATGTTCTAAAAAGTGTTTTTGTTTAAAACGAAAAAAAAAATACAACACTCAAAGTAATATCCGTTGGAAGCGACTACTTTATCCCATTCTTCCGACAATCATCTCTAAGAAATGAGAGTTCTCTCCGTTCTCCATCAAAAAATTGAGTCATTCCTCGATTTCTTCAAAAGACTCAAACCATGCAGCCGTCAAATCATTTTACATCCGTCCAAATAGCCAGTAGTCGGCAAGTGTAAGGTCTGAAGAATACGGCGGTTGTGGTAATACTACCCATTTCAGCGTCTCCAAGCAGCTTTGACAATTACAGCCACGTCAGCTCGAGGGCAAAATTACCTTGTTGTTGTTTTTCAGTCGTTTCAGGCAACTTTTCACGCAATGCCTCAGACGCATTCATTACAGTCGATGACGGTGCGCCTCAATAGTTGCACCTGGTTAGCACGGATCTTGATGCAGTAAAGCCCGCAAGTCTTCATCTTCAAACTGCTTGGGTTTTCCAGAACACACTTTGACTTTTACGCTAAAATCACAACTTTTGGAGAGTTGAAACGACTCTCTGCATGACTTAACGATTGGCGCAGATTTACTATAAACTTCTACAAGCATTCGATAGGCTTTAGCTGCATTTAGCTTCAAAGTACAATAGAAATTCTAAAATCTCCGTCAAAGCTGTTTATTTAACACAAATCGCAAAAAAACATCTTATTGTTAGAAAATAACGCTGATACGCAGTAATTATTACTAACAAATGTGAAACCTTTCCAATGAAATAGATTGGCCCCAACTTTCCGCTGGAATCATCCCTGGAGTACGGAACAAATTATTTTGTACCTCCTACTTATTTAACTAGATTTTTTGCGAAGTGTCTAGACTTTGCTTTGCTGGGATGTTACAGCAACATTTATCTTAACCCTATACACAGAAGAAAAACCATGCTACTCAATAAAAAATAGACAATAATTTTTTTTTTTTTTTGCTTTTTACGTACTTTAAGTAAACATGATTATTGGCAATATGCTAATATTATTGGTGATAAAAACAATTTATTAATATTGTATACATTTATTCGAATTATTAACTTCTTCTCTTTGAATTATTAAATAATGTTTACTTCGTGCTTTTCACTTACTCTCATGGGTTCTTCAACATTCAATTTTTGCTCTAAGCACACTCACTAACTAACTAACTTAAGGGGTTACATAGGTCTTGAAACTTTAAAAAATGAATTTTTTGGATAATTTTTTGTATAACAGTACAAAGTCAGGAATATTTTCACCAAGTTTCATGTTGATCGAGATGAAACTGTAGAAATTAGAGAGTTTTATAACCCGCCGTCTTGGCTTGACCGATGGCGAATCTTTAAACGAATTTTTCTTAAAACAACTTTATCGAAATCGATAGTCAAAATTTCTCAACGACTATTGAAGCGATCGAGATCAAATTTTCCACACTTCTTTCAAGCATGCTTTTGTAGTTCCTGAACGAAGGATTTATTTTATCTTTGATTTCAACTCGTTTTACAAGCCAATATGTGGCTTAATTTTTTGTAAAAAACGCTATAAAAAATTCAATCCTTTTTTAATTTTTCTTCATTCAGGGACAAGGAAAATTCACCTACTTTAAGAAAAAATTTGGATATTTGATTTCAGATAAAAATTGAATAAGTTATCATGACTACCGCGAAAGCACTTTCCTGT